GAGAACCCTTCTGCTACGCATTCGGGGAAAAAAAATATATATATATATATATTGATATTGGATATCACAGCCGGCATCCGACATTCAGCTTCTTGGCCCTAATTACCGCCTAGGAGCGTGCTGCCAAAGATGCACCAGCAGCACAGAAATGGGCTGAGCAGAAGCGGCTCAGTCCCAGCAGATTGGCAGGACTCGCTCGTGACAAGGTACGCATCATACATGCTTCGCATCCGTGCCATGGTGAGCATGTGTGGAGTGAAATCGTGAATTTTGGACGAGACGTATCCGATACGGCGCTACTCCTAGGAGAATTGCGAACGGAACGGATCAGATCAGACGTATTGTGAACATCGGCGCGATGAACAGAACACGAGAAGATCAGATGCTATGCGTTTGCGGTTCGGGGCTTGTGCGTTTGGGGCTGAGGGTGAAAGCGTGGAGACTTAGATGTGAGCAAATTGGAGCTAGCTTTACCTGGCAGCAAGGAGTCCCAGCTGCAAGACACAGTGTGCGCGAGAGTTCTCTCTGCGACATTGGTATACGTGTTCTGACTGTTGCGTGGCTTCGTTCCGGTTGATGTGGCTGTGCTTGGTGCTTTTGCTTGGCTTCCTTTCGTGCACGGTTCGTGAAGGCTTCGGGTTCAGGGGTAAGGGCACGTGCAAGGCTGTAGGTTTTCGCAGCCCGGCACAAAACCGGACAGACAAAAAGCTTAAACCAGGCCCCAACGGCTTGGGCTCGTGCATTGCATGCTCGGGATGAATGTTGAGGGTGTAGAGATTACAATAGGTGTATACCTGTATGGTCTCCATTGCAGGTTTTAGATGACGAGGCTTCAGGGGTGGTTTGACGGCGATCGCTACCAGAACCAGTCAGAAACACTACTACCAACACCACAAAGACGACGACTATCAACCCCACTTTTCGTAGGCTGCTGCCGGTGTTTCGGAATGAGGGCATAAGCCAAACATCCAGCAGCTGCGATCTGCTTTCCAATAGCACTTAAATCGTACATCGGCAGGTTTTCCCGACAAGTGTGAAATTTTCGAATTTATACGTGCGCATAGTCTATGACTCGCCTTCTCTTTGCAGATATCGCGGGACTGTGACAGGCATACCTTCTGCGGGACATGCAGCGCGCGGGACTGTTGCGCTTGACGCCCGTCACAGGTGGGAAGCTTTGTTTCGAGGGGCGTAAAATCTTCATGCCATCCTTCACGACAAACTGGGTGCAGGTTGTGGTTCGGGTCGATGCCTGTGGCGTCAAGAGCTGTAAAGGATCCTAGCCCAGCATGGTCTATGTACGATATAAGGGCCACTCTGCATGTGCTGTGCTGTAGCGGCAGGATGCACCGACGCTTAGAGCATTCTCAGCACGGCACAGGAGTTCACATTATGTACTTGGATGTACCTCTGTGTACCAGGGCCTCCCTTCCCACTTCTACCTCAGCAATGAGCCAGGTACGAAGACGGACGCGGCGACTCATCTGCGGCATTCTGCGAAACGGTAGCAGTGAGTACACCAGTCCTATATGCCTTGGTTCCCGAGGATGTCTCGGCTGCAGAGGACAGCGCCGCGCTGCTTGAGACGCGCGGGGAGCTCGAAGAGGCCCACGGAAAATCTGGAGAGAGGTGAAGGCGAAGGAGTCCCAATGGTGGTAAACCCTAACACCTAAACCCTAAACCTTAACAGAGTGACAAGTCGCTACATGATCTGAAGAGGCGCTCGAGAAAGTGGAACAAGAGGCCGGCTTGCTGTTGCACGGCGTTGCAGCTTCCCCAAATGTTTGGATACATTCGAAATCGCGGTACCGGCATACTGTATGGTGGTGTATATTAAGCCCGAACTTCACGTGTCAAAAGTTTGTATGTTCATTGATTCATGGGGCCAGCAGGCCGGTATCGTATCTATCAGGAGCACGATCAAGGACAAGACATGTCCTCATCGTCCAGTGCCAATTCAATCAGTTTCCTCCTGAGATTCCAGCTGTGTAAGCAACTCCTTCACAGTTGATTCTCACGTTTGGCACATACTGAGGTGACATCCAGCTTGTGACGGTTCTGTGCAGTGCATATCCGGCAAACATTGCCATGAGGCATCCGAGCTGCAACAAGTTGAGCTGGCGCATGCCTTGCATCAGTATAGCGCACAGAAATTCCAATCCAGGTCCAAGGACAAGACCTCGAGCTTTCAGATCAGCAACGTGGGGTCTGCTGTCATGTCCCCGGCCTCCGTCAACGCCGAAGGTGCGAACGAAAAGGTTCGAGGGGTTTGCAGGCCGTTCTCGAACAAGACTTCTGCAAGGCGAGGATGGCCTATGGTGGCTCTATGGAGATGTGCAGGCTGTGACTGAATCCGCGCGTTGCCTTAAGCTTCCGATTTTTCATGGCCCTGCTGTGTGAGACGAGACCTCTGCAGGTGGGAGCCAACCGGTCTTTCATGCACAGCACCACCCAAGTAGCAGACTGGCAGCTAGCGCTGTTTGGCGGCCTGCGATACAAGGACTACTTTCCACCTCCGAACGTGAATGGGCCGGACTTTGAAACGCCCAGCCTGCCGCAGGAGTCCGACGACCAGAAGAAGCACACCTGCATGGTTTTGGACAACTGGTTGCAGGCACGGCATCCAGGGCAGAGCAGCCGGCATCGAAGCCTTTTCTGACAGGTAGGAGCCCGCGTGAAGCGCACGAACGAGCTACTTCTGCGGTTGCGGCAGCTGGTCAATGATGCCATTGCCTGGAAAGCTCTCGATGCTCTCGATGGGGCCGAGAACCAAAAGGATGGAATGGAAATTTCTGAGGCCTGAGAAAGGAGCTTTGCTCCAAGTACTGTGGGCGTGCAAATCGACAGCACTTATGCCAACCTCACGCAGCTGGAGGTGAGCGAGAAATTAGTACAGTGCGTACGATCTGTGGTGGGTGTGCCGCAAGCCTATCTCATGTTGTTGGGAGCATATGTGAGCCGTCCTTGTCGCCAGCCTCAGAAAAAAGTGACTTGAATCATTTGCTCAGGCTGGGACAAGGAAGTACACAGGAGGAACGGTCAATTGAAGCTGGCTGTTGAAAATCGCGCAGCATTTCAGCAGCACTGAAAAGACCATGCATGGAGCTTTGACGAGGAAGTGGAGGATGAGCAAGCAGAGTCACCAGTTGAGGCCCAACCCCGGGAAGCTGCTTGAACACACAAAGTGTGAGTTATCAATTTGAGACCTGGCGTGCCGGCAGCCGGGGCAGGGTGTCGACTCGGATGTACTGAAGTGGGAGGTGTTTGCCGGAAACAGCGCCCATGGATTGTCACGTGCAGTCGTCGGTGTTGGACCCTGTGCAACAAACCATCATAGGCCTTAAACCTAGCGACCCAAAGCTCCAAAGGTGTGACGGTTGCATCTGCTGTTGAACCGGTCCGGGCCGGCCAGGACCTCGAAGAAGCAGAAGAGGCACTCCCGATGTTGAAACAGGGCTTTCACACACACTTACGGCTGGCTTCTTACTTTTAGGTTTGATTGATGTCTCCGAACGTTGTGGAGCTCCCAAGCCAATCTTTGCTCCTTTGAGGAGTTAAGCATCATGCCTCAAACTTTGCCAGGCTGCACCCTCCAAGGAAGAACTCTCGAACATGACCATCTCGCAGCTCAAGGTCGCACTGCCCGGTTTTTTGTGATTGTATGGAGTCGACACAGTAGGGTGGCAACGTTGTTGTGACTAAGATCCTTGTCGGAATGCCAAGAGGACTTGTTGAAGAGCAAAGGTCTCAAAGCCAGCGCCTCAGATCTTCAGTCCCGAATGTCTGGGTACCGAGTCGAAGTACTCGTCCCCTTTTAGGACAGTCTTCTGCATTTCGCTGCTCTCTAGACACCGGCAGCTGCGCGACTTCTCTGGCAGGTCAGCGGCCGCAAGGACGATCTCGTGAGCCGACTGTACAGCTTTGAAAGCGCCGACTAGGCAGCTTCTCCTGGGCCCTTGGATGCGACACGCACTCCGTGGGTTTCAAAAGACTTCTCCTCTATTTGTGGGTTGACAGTGCGGTTTCGTGAACGGCTCGATAAGTAGATGCGATGTGCAATAAATGCATCATGATCTTGGCTCAAATCGAGATTCGTCTCGCTGCGGGCAGCTGCAAAGCCTGATTCTTACAGCCCTTGATCGGGGGTTTCCAAGTGATTTGAGCCTGTCCGGAGGTCGGTGCAGCACTTGGGGTGTCCAAGTGCAGGCGAGATGGCAGATGAGGACCCGAACAGTCAGGGACTGCCCCCTGCCTGCCTGGGGATGCCTGGGGTAACTACCTATAGTCTCCCATTGTAGTTCCCTTTTGGGTTACCTTTTAGAATCCTAAGTATAAACTTGGTTAGAAGCCAAACAAAGGAACTACAACGGAGACTATAGGTATTCGGGAAAAAATGTGAGGACCTCACCGTCCGGGCCAGACACCGAGCGCTCTTGGGGAGATCCTGGAGAGGTTCTTGAGCGCATTGCATGCGAGGTGCCCGGTGAACACAGGATGGACATCTTGACCGCAGGGGATGGCTTGATGATCCAGGCTGGGGTCTGGGCTGCCTAGGGTTTAGGGTATCTGGAAGTCTGGAACCTCGTTTTGCATCGATATACTGGCGACTCTCAGGCAGATGACTGCGACAGTTGGAAGGCCCTTCTCTGAATCATCGCAATCTCACTTCGCAATTCGCAATCTCACTTCCGCGTCACCTGTGGCCAGATAGCACAGGAGCCGACGCCTGAGGAGCGCGAGCACGTTTCCCACTTCCTGAAGCAAGAAAAGATGACGGGGGAGAAGAGGAAGCCTGAGCCTCAGTGAAGTCGGGTGGGAGCCGAAGGCCGTAGCATCCGTAGCGGCACAGCAGCCCGAGGAGTCTCCGAGTGGGCTTTGGAAGGGTTGGTTTCAACAGCCACGGGGTCTTCGTCCTCAGCAACCATTTGAAGCGATACTTTGGCATCAAGCACGCGACTCAGCCCCAGCTCTGCGATCGAAGGTATGCAGGATGCTCTGGGGTGCGGGCTTCTCATGCCAGGAAGTCGCACGCAAACGTGCTCCTGCTCAACGCAGTGCCAGAGGCGGCTCTGAGTGTCATTTTATATCAGAGTGATCAGAGAGCCTGCCGTGCTTCGGTCATGGGATCTGTCCGGCAGTGCTGTCTCGGAGGATTCTTGAGCACTTGTGAGCAATTCGTATTGCCAGCAGCACAATGCGAGGCTGTTCCGAAGCTCGAAGCGCAGTCTGGCGTCCCGGCCTTACGGGATGAGACGGAGCCCGCACCTTCTGTGGAAGCATCGCAGATACAACTCCGAGTCTCAGACAAAGTAGCTGGGACCAGGGCCTGGGCCGATGACGGAAACAGGCGTCAAGGTAATGAGACTGCGACGCTGAACAGACTAAAACTCAACACCGTGAAGAGGATGCGCGGGGCACGCAAAGGCCTTTGAACCAGTCCTGAACCCTCGACTCACCATCCATATATACATATATATATATATACTAATGAAATATCAATCTTCCCGGAAAGTTGTTCAATTCTGCCATTCGGCATGTGGCATGTAATCATCATATAACCATCTTCCATCATTGTGCAGAAAGGCCGAGAACAACGGGCTTCTGGGAGCTTTGGCCCGAAGCATGGCCACCGTTGGGGACGAGGCGCGTCGTGCTGCAGCAAGAAACCCAAGAATACATCGGGATATATATATATAGAGAGAGAGAGAGAGAGAGAGAGAGAGAGACGCTCCAGCATCAGACATTTCCACAGGCCACCGCTGGGAATATCCCAGAAAGTACTGCAGGTCTCAGCCGCAATTCTTAGGGTATGCCCGTTTACCGATGGAGTATTCGTTGTGCGCCCGTCAGTTAACTCGCAAGACCTGAGACCATAGTAGCCTTGGTGGCGCGTGCACTTAATTCCCATACTCGCCCCACAACAGTCGGGAGCGCTTGACGCGCGCGGGCAGAGGGCAACCTCTGCCCATAGCCCTGGCGAAAGAAAGAAAGAGAGGGTTTAGGGTATAAAAATATATATATATATATGACAAGGGCTGCTTGCTCCAACTCCGGGCGAAGCGGAAAGCGTGTTGCAAAAGGGAATATGACACAGCCAACTAACGAACTTACCCGAACCACGGATCGCACTGCGGGCTGACTGACGGTGGCATGTGCATGGGCCTCAGCCGTGATGATCGAGGTCGAGCGGATGTGGCTAGCCCTCAAGCCCGGTAGCAAAAAACAGGGTTTTGGGTATGTAAACAACCAGCATACTAAGCGGATATTATTAGGCCAACAGATGTTTGTCGACAGATGTCGACAGCAGACGTGCTAAATAAGACCAAGTACTCGTAATTGGCTTGGCCCTCGGTTGTCCTGGTTTCGTAGGGCTGGGAGGGTTGCCGGGGTCCGTTTCTGGATTCGTGGAAATTCGTGGTTTGTCCGGGGTTGTTGTCTTCCGGGTCCTACGGGATTCAGGTGCAGGCTTGCGATGCTGCGTGAAGTAGCATCCCAGCCGCCGAAGTACCACAAAGCCGTCGTCGTCCTTAGTAGTAGCCGTCGTTGTTGTGGTAGTCGTAGTTGGAGTAGTAGTGGGAGTCGCCGTGGCACCGGCAGCAGCAGGCGAACAGCAGCAGGAGTGGTAGGAGTCGTGGTAGCAGCAGCACGAGGAGTAGTCGTAGTAGTAGTCGTCGTCGTGGTGGTGGTGGTGGTGCTGCTGCTGCAACTAGTGCGGCAACGACGACGACTACGACGTCTACTACTACGAGTGTGGTTACGACTACGAGTACTAGTAGCAGCAGCCGCAGCCGCCGCAGAGCGGTAGGTCGAGTGGTAATACAGGTTGTAGAGCTGTGGTATATAGTGGTGGCAGATGGGAAGAGGAGACGGGGAGCAGCAATACTGCAGAAATATGGCTGCCTTCCCTCCTAACAAATTCAGCATGATGACATTGAGATATATTCAGAGCTGGAGGATCTAACCTGACTGGCAGGTTCGCACGACCTTCTTGAGGGCCACCTTCGCTCGTGCAGACAGGACACCACAGTTGTTTTCTCATTTTCCAGTGTTTTCTAAACTGCAAGCAGCAGCGCTCGCTTCCTGCTTCTTGTTGAGTGCGGCCGACATCTTGCAATAAGACAGTGCTTCCCTCGCCGGCCAGGAACAACAACGGGAAACTTAGCAGGCCGGACCGTTGGGGTGGAGCAGCAGCTTTAGGCGTTCTAGAGCATCTCCGATCACAATTGGCGCGGTGCAGTGTTGACAAGTTGACCTTATACTCTAGCAGGGCCCAAGGCACTCTTGGCACCGCTTGAAAATCATGCCGGCATTGCTTCCACATGGCCACCACCACCACAACAACAAACAACAACAACAA